TTAAAGAATGATGTTAAAAGGAACTAATATACTCACATAATAAGAGGGGTCAAATTATGTTGGTCATTTTAGAAATTAGAATAGTTAATAGATTTTGCAAATTAATTTTTTCATATTTGCAGTGTCTATGCTAAGCACACAAGTTTTTAGGATAAGAATTAAACAGTGTTATAAGAGAGAAACTCTTGTTTTTAGAAATGCTTCTATTGTATAAAGTACTGCATGTAATTCTGTCAGCTCCAAACATTGCTTGACACCATCTTTAAAGGTAAGATACAACTCCTTGCTCCCATTATCACTGGATGACTCCAATTCTTCAAATTTCTTGGTCCAATGCTTAGTCTGTAAGAGTCAATATAAAACCATTTAAAAGAGGAGAGTATCATTATTACTGCAGTAGTTGAGTCTTCAATGATAAAACCTTTCTGTAGATCGATTGTTAAATCAACAGCATTTCCTTCCCACTTTGCAGCAAATGTTCTAGCCTAATGATAATATAAGGAAATGATAATCAGGGTTGCTAATAATGACAATGAACAATTTAAATATAAGCCCTGCCACTCCCTTATTGGCAACCCTGCTGATCTTACATAGGAGCAAACATACATTTATTTTCATGACAACATCTTTGATTTCCATGAGCAATTCTCTTTCCCAATAATGAAGTGAGATATCACATTCTATATGCAATGATTATTAGATAGAGATAACAACAAGAACTAAGCACATACCAAATGATAAAATGTGCCTTCCTCCAGTTGATGATTGCAGTGATATTGAGTGAGGACGATATATATGACTATTCGTACCATTCTTCACCAATGGGCCCCAAGTAATGTCACATACACCATAGTGTAGCTCAGGTGACTGCCAGTCTCCAGCGGTCTCCTATATGCAAAAATGTTATTAAATATTATGCAATTACTTTGCTTACTGGAAAGTCACTGTATATCTCCAATTCTTCATTTCTTAAAACAAGTAGCCTTTTCATCCAAACTCTGCATTGTTTTGATGACACCATCAGTTCATTTACCCAGCATACTAGTATCAACTATGGGCATATGAAAAAACATACTTATTATTGTGCATTATTAAAAATATTACGTCTTCTAAGTCAAAGCTCCCCTTTAATTCATCAACCTATTAGAAATGGAAATCAAATAAAATACATTATTGAATGAGATGATTCATTACCTTCTTCTTATTAGCAGATATAATACTTTTACTCAATTCTTTAATAATAACATCAAGACTCTTCTTGCATC